ATATGGTAGCTATATTGGAGTTGTGTAGCTAGTATGTTGCTATTCTATATTGGTAGCTAATTGTGGTAGCTAATTGTGGTAGCTATGTGTTCACCAGACTGTTATCCTTCCAGTATCCAGGAATGGACCACTCTCTGTTTCTCCTGTTCTTCTCAGGTTGGTGTTAGTGTGTGTTCGTGTGTGTTAGTGTGTGTTCGTGTGTGTTCGTGTGTGTTAGTGTGTGTTCGTGTGTGTTCGTGTGTGTGTTCGTTTTACATGGCTGTTAGTGCTCAAGTTCTATTTCTGGAGCCCGGCAGGCGAACGCTGAATGCCCCGCTCCAAACCGACGGCGAGGTCGGGTATGAGGGGTGGAATCCCAAACAAAATAACAATAGAACGCATGCGGTGTCTACAAACTACGTTCTAATCCATGATGAACTATTTCAACACGCTATTAGCATCAGACAGATGGAACAGTGTCATGGTGCTGTCTGGGAAACTAGATTTTTAGATTTGTCTGAAAATGTTTCCTTATTTGTTGTGTTTTAGTTAGTGACAACATTCGCCGTGCCCCGGCTCTACAGCCTCGATTACAAAGACAAACTCTTCCTTCATCACTTACATTTACATTTACATTTACGCCATTTAGCAGACGCTCTTATCCAGAGCTTACATAGTTCGCCGTCCCCTGGATGTGTAAAATGAAATCGCCCAGCGTCTGTCTGTATGTCTGTCTGTCTGTCTGTCTGTCTGTCTGTCTGTCTGTCTGTCTGTCTGTCTGTCTGTCTGTCTGTCTGTGTCAGTCTACCATGAGATATGCATGCCTAAATCCAATTTCTATTAGCATTGATATCAACGGTTAGTTTGTGTGTTCAAGTTAGTGTGTGTGTGTGTGTGTGTGTGTGTGTGTGTGTGTGTGTGTGTGTGTGTGTGTGTGTGCGTGCATGCGTTTGTGCATGTGTGTTTTTTTTGTACAGTCATAATGTTGGTTTGTTCTCCACAGGGCTGTCCATCCTCCCCTCCAGCGTCCCTCATCAGTTCCACTTTGTGAACATCAATAAGACCTGGACTGAAGCTCAGAGTTTCTGCAGACAGAAATACACTGACCTGGCCACCGTAGACGACATGGCAGACATGGAGAGGCTCAACAGCACAGTAACTGGGTTAACTGGGTTAACTGGGTTAACTGAACCAGCCTGGATAGGGCTGTATAACCGCAGCTGGAGGTGGTCTCTGGAAGACACAGAGTTAGACACAGAGGGGTTTTGGGAAATTGGCCAACCAAATAATATACGGAAAAATGAGTTCTGTGTGTGGATGCGAAATGGGTCATGGCATGACGACAACTGTGGTAAACCATATGATTTTGTCTGCTATGGTGAGTTCCCCTGTCAGTCAGCCTTTTCACTGACCTTCCTTCCATCTTTCTGCATGTCAACCAGTCAAACACCAAAGTGATTGGATTCAGTCAACAGAATCATTTTGAAAAGTATTTTTCTACCAGGTTATTTCCAACCGTGTATTTGTCTGTATGAACCTATGTATTTACTGGAACATGATATTTTACATCTTATCGCTTCTTTTATACCTTATTGTCTTTCAAATAGACACAAATCCCACTGATAAGTACATCGTCATCACTGAAAAGAAGACTTGGAGTGAGGCTCAGAGCTACTGTCGGAAGAACCACAAAGACCTGGCCAGTGTGAAGGACCTCACCATACAGAACATCATACAGGCAAGTTCACTCCAATTTATTGACCTTATTTGTCTTGCACTTTGAGCACTGTGTTAAAAACATAATCAGCATTTGCAAAACGTTTACAGAACAATGTGGTGCCAACTAAAGAAGTGTGGATCGGCCTGTATAGAGAGTGGAGGTGGTCCGACCAGAGTGGCTCACCCTTCAGCAACTGGATGGCAGACGAGCCAAACGGGGTAGATGCGGGAGAACAGCATGGAGAGTTGTGTGTGGAAGTTAAGTTCCCATCTGGACAGTGGAATGATCACATTTGTAGCACCAAACATCCTTTTATCTGCTATGATGGTGAGTGGGGGGGGGGGGGGGGGGGGGGGGGGGGGGTGTTTAGGGGGGTTGGGTTGTGGGGGGGGGGTTATATCTTTCTCAGTATGGCTGGGTTGGGGTGGTTTGAGTTTTTTTGGTGGAGGGTTGGGTGTGGTGTCTGTATCGGTCTGCACGTGGTTTTTTTTGTTTTTTGTTTGTTGGTTGTTTATTTTTTTTTTTTTTTGTTTTTTTTTTTTTTTGGTTTTTTTTTTTTTCTTACTGTTTTGTTTTTTGTTTTTTGTTTTTTTTTTTTTTTGGGGTTTTCTTTATATAAATTTTATTTTTTTTAAATTTTTTTTTTTTTAGCTTTTTAAATTTTTTTTTTTTTTTTTTTTTTTTTTTTCCCCGGGGAAATTTTTTCCCCAAATGGTGGGGGTTTTTCCCCCCCTGCCTTGGGGAAAATTTTTTTTTTTTTTTTTCCTGGTTTTTTTTTTTCCCAAAAAAGAAACACAACCCTGTTTTTCGGTTAAAATTTTCGCCAATTTCAAACGTTTAAAAAAGTAACAAAGATTGGATTTTGAAGTCCTTTAAAAGATTCCCTGAGTCCAAATTTCTATATACCTGGAGTGTGGGACCTAAACTAATGATTTTTCTATTTTTTTTTTTTGTCTTAATTTACTTTCACTATAATTTCAATCTTTAAAAAGTTGGGGAAAAGTTTTGTCTGAAGATAAGCCTGCCAGTGTGGACCTCACCTAAAACTATTGGCAAGTTCACTAATTTGTTACCTTATTGTTTTTTGTCTATGTTTAAAAATACTTTCAATTACAACAATGTTTTGCAACTAAGAAGTGTGGATCGGCTGTGTTGGGGGGTGGGGGGGTCGAGGGTGGGCTCCCTTGATGGATGGGGGGGGGGGGGGTAGTGGTTTGGGTTTGGGGGGTGGTTGTGTGTGGAAGTTAAGTTCTTGGTGGGTTTTTTGTTTTTTTTTTATTTTTTTTGTGGTGGTGGGTTGGGGGTGTGTTTGGGGTGTGTTTCCTCCAGATAAATGGTCCTGGTCCCAGAGAACAAGACGTGGTCAGAAGCCCTGTGGCACTGCAGAGACCTGGACATGGAGCTGGTGTCTGTCCACAACCAGAGCGTCAGCACTGGTCCGACAGAGAGCCAAGAATGCCTCCACTCCCTTCGTCTGGCTGGGCCTGAGGTACACCTGTACCCTGGACTTCTGGTTCTGGGTCAGTGGAGAAGAGTCCTGCTACCACAACTGGGCCGACGGGGAGGGCTACAACACTGGCAAGGAGCAGTGTGGGAACACAGGGGCCATACAGAGAGACGGGGGGCAGTGGGTCGGCAAGCCTGAGACTGAAAGATTCAACTTTATCTGCAGCAATGATGGTCAGATTATATCGGTTTTGGTTTCATTCAACTATCGTCATATAATTGTATTCTCTCCTCTCACATTGCCTCCTCTCTCTCTCCTCTCCTCCCTCTCTCTCTCTCTCTCTCTCTCTCTCTCTCTCTCTCTCTCTCTCTCTCTCTCTCTCTCTCTCTCTCTCTCTCTCTCTCTCTCTCTCTCTCTCTTCAAATGTATTTCATGATTTCTCTTACACTAATCTTTCTTTTTTCTTTTATTTGTTCTGTAATCCAGATTACTAAAACCAGACCCTGTTCTCTGAACCAGCTGAACCCTACAGCCCAACTCATTGTTCCAGACCCTGTTCTCTGGACCAACTGAACCCTACAGCCCAACTCATTGTTCCAGACCCTGTTCTCTGGACCAACTGAACCCTACAGCCCAACACATTGTTCCAGACCCTGTTCTCTGGACCAACTGAACCCTACAGCCCAACTCATTGTTCCAGACCCTGTTCTCTGGACCAACTGAACCATCAACACATTGTTCCAGACCCTGTTCTCTGGACCAACTGAACCCTACAGCCCAACTCATTGTTCCAGACCCTGTTCTCTGGACCAACTGAACCCTCAACACATTGTTCCAGACATATTCAGATTTACATTACATAAGGTGATGGATACTCAATTTCTGTGGTCCTCTGTAGCTCAGCTGGTAGAGCACGGCGCTTGTAACGCCAGGGTAGTGGGTTCGATCCCCGGGACCACCCATACACAAAAAAAATGTATGTACGCATGACTGTAAGTCGCTTTGGATAAAAGCGTCTGCTAAATGGCACATTATTTAATGTGTGAAAAATTCTTTATAATGAATCATTTTAATGATTGTAATGTTGTTTTATATTAGTATATTATCGTATTGAATGTGATTATAACCATACTGTTATTGTTTTCTTATTACCTATTTCATTGAAGTGACAGGGACAACTGGAATTAATAAAACAACTTCTCTAGTTGAAAACGTCTGCAGTATGATATTAGTCCTAAACAGCTGTGCTTCTCTAGTTGAAAACGTCTGCAGTATGATATTAGTCCTAAACAGCTGTGCTTCTCTAGTTGAAAACGTCTGCAGTATGATATTAGTCCTAAACAGCTGTGCTTCTCTAGTTGAAAACGTCTGCAGTATGATATTAGTCCTAAACAGCTGTGCTTCTCTAGTTGAAAACGTCTGCAGTATGATATTAGTCCTAAACAGCTGTGCTTCTCTAGTTGAAAACGTCTGCAGTATGATATTAGTCCTAAACAGCTGTGCTTCTCTAGTTGAAAACGTCTGCAGTATGATATTAGTCCCAAACAGCTGTGCTTCTCTAGTTGAAAACGTCTGCAGTATGATATTAGTCCTAAACAGCTGTGCTTCTCTAGTTGAAAACGTCTGCAGTATGATATTAGTCCTAAACAGCTGTGCTTCTCTAGTTGAAAACGTCTGCAGTATGATATTAGTCCTAAACAGCTGTGCTTCTCTAGTTGAAAACGTCTGCAGTATGATATTAGTCCTAAACAGCTGTGCTTCTCTAGTTGAAAACGTCTGCAGTATGATATTAGTCCCAAACAGCTGTGCTTCTCTAGTTGAAAACGTCTGCAGTATGATATTAGTCCTAAACAGCTGTGCTTCTCTAGTTGAAAACGTCTGCAGTATGATATTAGTCCTAAACAGCTGTGCTTCTCTAGTTGAAAACGTCTGCAGTATGATATTAGTCCTAAACAGCTGTGCTTCTCTAGTTGAAAACGTCTGCAGTATGATATTAGTCCTAAACAGCTGTGCTTCTCTAGTTGAAAACGTCTGCAGTATGATATTAGTCCTAAACAGCTGTGCTTCTCTAGTTGAAAACGTCTGCAGTATGATATTAGTCCTAAACAGCTGTGCTTCTCTAGTTGAAAACGTCTGCAGTATGATATTAGTCCTAAACAGCTGTGCTTCTCTAGTTGAAAACGTCTGCAGTATGATATTAGTCCTAAACAGCTGTGCTTCTCTAGTTGAAAACGTCTGCAGTATGATATTAGTCCTAAACAGCTGTGCTTCTCTAGTTGAAAACGTCTGCAGTATGATATTAGTCCTAAACAGCTGTGCTTCTCTAGTTGAAAACGTCTGCAGTATGATATTACTCCTAAACAGCTGTGCTTCTCTAGTTGAAAACGTCTGCAGTATGATATTAGTCCTAAACAGCTGTGCTTCTCTAGTTGAAAACGTCTGCAGTATGATATTAGTCCTAAACAGCTGTGCTTCTCTAGTTGAAAACGTCTGCAGTATGATATTAGTCCTAAACAGCTGTGCTTCTCTAGTTGAAAACGTCTGCAGTATGATATTAGTCCTAAACAGCTGTGCTAGCTACAACATGGACTAAAGGTTGTAGAACTTTGGTCATGAAGTCAGTATCTTCCAGAACCACTGGTCCAAGAAGCACTAAGGGTACATAAAGCATTAAGGGTACATAAACCACTAAGGGTACATAAAGCACTAAGGGTACATAAAGCACTAAGGGTACATAAACCACTAAGGGTACATAAAGCATTAAGGGTACATAAAGCACTAAGGGTACATAAAGCATTAAGGGTACATAAAGCATTATGGGTACATAATGCACTAAGGGTACATAAATAACTAAGGGTACATAAAGCATTAAGGGTACATAAAGCATTAAGGGTACATAAAGCATTAAGTGTACATAAAGCATTAAGGGTACATAAAGCATGAAGGGTACATAATGCACTAAGGGTACATAAATAACTAAGGGTACATAAAGCATTAAGGGTACATAAAGCATTAAGGGTACATAAAGCATTAAGGGTACATAAAGCATTATGGGTAAATAAAGCATTAAGGGTACAAAAAGCATTAAGGGTACATAAAGCGCCAAGGGTACATAAAGCATTAAGGGTACATAAAGCATTAAGGGTACATAAAGCATTAAGGGTACATAAAGCACTAAGGGTACATAAAGCACTAAGGGTACATAAAGCATTAAGGGTACATAAAGCATTAAGGGTACATAAAGCATTAAGTGTACATAAAGCACTAAGGATACATAAAGCATTAAGGGTAAATAAAGCATTAAGGGTACATAAAGCATTAAGGGTACATAAAGCACAAAGGGTACATAAAGCATTAAGGGTACATAAAGCACTTAGGGTACATAAAGCACTAAGGGTACATAAAGCATAAAGGGTACATAAAGCACTAAGGGTACATAAAGCATTAAGGGTACATAAAGCACTAAGGGTACATAAAGCATTAAGGGTATATACAGCAATAAGGGTAAATAAAGCATTAAGGGTACATAAAGCACTAAGGGTACATAAAGCATTAAGGGTACATAAAGCACTAAGGGTACATAAAGCATTAAGGGTACATAAAGCACTAAGGGTACATAAAGCATTAAGGGTACATAAAGCATTAAGGGAACATAAAGCACTAAGGGTACATAAAGCATTAAGGGTACATACAGCACTAAGGGTACATAAAGCATTAAGGGTACATAAAGCACTAAGGGTACAAAAAGCATTAAGGGTACATAAAGCATTAAGGGTACATAAAGCACTAAGGGTACATAAAGCATTAAAGGTACATAAAGCATTAAGGGTACATAAAGCACTAAGGGTACATCAAGCATTAAGGGTACATAAAACATTAAGGGTACATAAAGCACTAAGGGTACATAAAGCATTAAAGGTACATAAAGCATTAAGGGTACATAAAGCACTAAGGGTACATCAAGCACTAAGGGTACATAAAGCATTAAGGGTACATAAAGCATTAAGGGTACATAAAGCACTAAGGGTACATAAAGCATTAAGGGTACATAAAGCATTAAAGGTACATCAAGCACTAAGGGTACATAAAGCATTAAAGGTACATCAAGCACTAAGGGTACATAAAGCATTAAGGGTACATAAAGCACTAAGGGTACATAAAGCATTAAGGGTACATAAAGCACTAAGGGTACATAAAGCATTAAGGGTACATAAAGCATTAAGGGTACATAAAGCATTAAGGGTACATAAAGCATTAAGGGTACATAAAGCACTAAGGGTACATAAAGCATTAAGGGTACATAAAGCACTAAGGGTACATAAAGCATTAAGGATACATACAGCACTAAGGGTACATAAAGCATTAAGGGTACATAAAGGGGCTTTTTTTCCAAACAATTCTAAAACCCTCTTTTTCCTTTGTCATTATGGGGTATTGTGTTTAGATTGATGAGGGAAAAACAATTTAATCAATTTTAGAATAAGGCTTTAAATTCAAGGGGTCTGAATACTTTCAGACTATAGCAATAACTGTAGCGACCTTGTGTTTATAAACGTTGATATTGCCTTTGTCACTTCAGCATGTTTTTGTGGAACAGTCGACGCCATTCAGCTACGAGACAGAAGGTTGAGGGTTCGTCGACCAGCGTGGAGGGTCTGAATACTCACTCTCCCTGCCTGTTTCATTACACTACGATCACAGCCGGCTGCAGACAATGATCATCTAGGGGGAAATCAGATTTTCAACATTTTGATGTCATATTTATAATTATATAAAATATATGCAACAAATTGTCCACCAACAGGTGTCTGTGCCAATGCACCTCACAACCAATAAATAAAACATACCGACTTTGGGCACTTCAATATCATGGTTTGCTTTTTCAACGCCACAATAAATAGCCTATGCAGTACATACACACAGTACAAAGAGGTTCTAAAGTGACCAGGATTGCACATAAATACATACACACTGAGTATACAAATGTACCAGGGCATTATGTTAATAGAGGACTGTTGATACCTTCTGTTGGTACCAGGGCATTATGTCAATAGAGGACTGTTGTTGATACCTTCTGTTGGTACCAGGGCATTATGTCAATAGAGGACTGTTGATACCTTCTGTGGATACCAGGGCATTATGTTAATAGAGGACTGTGGTTGATACCTTCTGTTAGTACCAGGGCATTATGTCAATAGAGGACTGTGGTTAATACCATTTTCTGAGAATGAG